CTGGGGGTCTGTAGAGAGACACAGAGAGGAAGGGAAGGGAGACCTGCCCTGACGTGGTGTCGGAGAAGCACTGCCCCCCTTAACAGACCTGCTGGAGCGTAGCGTCATGATGGCAGAATGGCTGATTGGGGATCCATCACAGCAGAGGCTGAGTGGCAGGAGCTTAGCTATGGATCTAGACTGTTCTCAGTGGTGGCAGATGACAGAACAAGGAGTAATGGTCTCAAGTTGCAGTGGGGAGGTTTAGGTTGGATATTAGGAATAAATTTTTCACTAGAAGGGTGGTGAATGGGTTACTTAGGGAGGTGGTGGAATCTCCTTCCTTAGAGGTTTTTAAGATCAGGCTTGACAAAGCCCTGGCTGGGATGATTTAGTTGGTGTTGGTCCCGCTTTGAGCAGGGGGTTGGACTAGATGACCTCCTGAGGTCCCTTCCAACCCTGATATTCTTGATTCTATGATAAGCACTCATCATTAAAAAAATAGCCGCGAATTAGCAGGAAATTCTGTGTAGCCCAGACACAGCTGTTAGCTGTTATTCTGTGGATTATTATCTAATAACTCAGTGGGCCTGGATCAACCGAGGTGCCAGGAGTTCTGGAGCTAAGCCAGCTCATTCTCCTCACTCCAGGAGAGGTAGAGCGGCACCTTGGTGATGTCTCCAGGCTCAGCGCGGACACGGCTCCAATGTAGCGTACTATACAAGTGCTCCCACATGCAGCCATTTAGCCCTTGCTTTAGAGACCGACAGATTATTTTTTAATGTCAGAGTCGTCTTCCCCCCTCTAACCTCCTCACAGTTTAGTATAACGATGGGAGGGGAGAGGTTTCCACAGGGGGCAATAAATGCTTGGGAATGTGTTTGATTCTGATGCGCTGTATGTTTCTCATGCAAATCTCTGCACAGCTGACTTGGTGCTATACAAATAAAGGGCCATAAGACAGCCACGGGCCTTACATGGTAAATCAGGGCTGGGTACTGCACTGAAACCTCAAACAAGAGGAAGTACTTTTTCCACACAACACATAATTAACCTGTGGAACTCATTGCTATGGGATGTTGGGATGGCCAGAAGTATAACTTTGGTTCAACAAAGAAATAGATAAGTTCATGGAGGATAGGTCCTTCAATAGTTATTAGCCAAGATGGTCAAGGATGCATGCATGGGGAGACCCCGAACTTCTGACTGCCAGACACTGGGAGTGGATGACAGGAATAGATCACTCCAAAATTGCCCTATTCTGTACAGTGTCCCTGAAGTTCTGATACGGGACACTGTCAGAGACAGGATACTAGGCTAGATGGACCATTGGTCTGACCCAGTATGGCAGCTTGTTCTTAGCTTTCAGGAGATGGCATTGGAATTGGAAGCTGACCTGAATTTCACACCAAATTCCTATCTCTGTAATGGGCTCCTCAAAACACACACAAACTTTGGAGAGTTCCCACTCCAGCTCTGAATTCCGCAGCCAATTCAGCCAACCTCCACTGGAAGCGAGGAATGAATTACACACTTGTTTGGGTGCATAAGGAGGGCATCTTTTCTATGGCAAATCCTATAATCCTATGCAAATATGAATTATTTTTACCCTGGCACAGGTAGAATGGAGAGTGATAAATGAGTTCCTGTACCTTGGGTCACTGCAGTAGATGTTACTGTACATTTAAATAAACCTCTCAGCGCTTTATAAAAATATACGGACTCTGGGTCCTTACTCAGGACAAATTCCCATTGATTTCAGAGAGATTTTTGGACTTCCGAGTTTTGTCCTACCAGATGTACGACACATGACAGCTTGGTGCAGTATAAAGGTTTTATCAACATGAGTTTGAGATGGACATCTATTGGTCCAGGCCACAGGATAACTACAACTTATCCTATGGCTCTGCCATTCCTAAAGTGGATTTCATGACATACATATGAATTACTCGGCCCAGCAATAGAGGCTAGCCACCTCCACAGTAGTTGCTGTTCAGTCACGCACAGCAAAAATGCATATGAGTGCAGGGCTAGAAGTTAAAAATAACATATTCAGTTAAACAACAAGGAGTCTGGTGGCACCCTAAACACTAACAGATTTATTTGTGCATAAGCTTTCATGGGTAAAAAAACCTCACTTCTTCAGATGCATGGAGTGAAAGTTACAGCTGCAGGCATTATATAATGACACATGAAGAGAAGGGAGTTACCTCACAAGTGGAGAACCAGTGTTCGATCAGGGTAGATGCGGTCCACTCCCAATAATAGATGAGGAGGTCTCAATTCCAGGAGAGGCAAAGCTGCTTTTGTCATGAGCCAGCCACTCCCAGTCCCTATTCAAGCCCAGATTAATGGTGTTAAATTTGCAAATGAATTTTAGTTCTGCTGTTTCTCTTTGCAGTCTGTTTCTGAAGTTTTTTTGTTCAAGAATAGTGACTTTTAAATCTGTTATAGAATGTCCAGGGAGATTGAAGTGTTCACCTACCGGCTGTATTCAGTTAAAGCTCCAAGGAGAATTTAGGCCAGTGAAATATGATTAGCTATCTGGAAACTGGGCAGAACAGGCATTGACAAAATGCCCAACCCTTTGTGAAAAGTGCCATGAGAGCTTTACTGATGGCAAAGAGGACCAAAGTCAGGGTTCCTCGGCTAAAGTCAACCACTATTCATGGTAAACAGTGGCGCTGCCGTGGATAATCAGGATGGCTGAGTTCAATACCCAGCTAGTGGCTTGCTTTGTGACCTTGGGAAAGTCACTTGGACTTGTCTGTCTTCACTAAAGATTTTTTACCTCTCCCTAACAGGTAGCCAGGTAACTTGAAGTTGTTAATGGATCATTAAGGTAAATGACACGGTTATAGCCTGGAACAAATGCTTAACTTAGCATTTTAATGATGCCCAGGTAATTGGCAATCGATTAACTCTGTGCCTCAATTTCCCTAACTGTTAAAAATAGTTGGGGATAAAGCTATTTCTCCGCCCCTGCACAGCCCTACTGTCTACAGCCAAAAGGAGAGCTTAGCAATTTTAGCGAGGGGCCTAGCCATGAAATCAGCTTCAGGGAATTTATAGCCTTTCAGCGCTCCCCACCCACAGCACGTCCTCTTAATTAATTATGCCATCTGAATTCTTATATCATTATCTACTTGGCAGCAAAAGGCCCTCCCAGCTCTCCCTTATGCCTCAGTGTTTTATTAAAATTGTAATCTCCAAAGTAGTGAAGGCACATGTTCAAGGGAGCGTGTATTAATGCCCAAATCTTTGTGACACCTGGCTCATAGGCAAAACTGGTGTGATTACTGCTGACCTAGGACCATTTATATTAGCTGTCAATAATACGGGAGGATTTCTAACTGGACCATCCCCATTCAAATACCCAGCTCATATGCTGACAGCCATTCCTGGGCTTGCTCTGTGTGACATTATGGGTGTAATATAATATCTCACTGAAAGGTGACAGAGGGCCAGAAAGAGTTAATTAACTCACAGACTGACATGACCCTTGGCCGAATTTTAAAGACTTGTTAGGAAGATATGTAAATGAATAGAGCTTTGAAATGCAAGCCTGCATTGTTAGAGATAGAAGGGTCAGGTCTTGTGATGTAAGCAAACAAGTCTTGTCTATTACTGTAGCTTTGATTCAAAGATCAAAAAAAGGAGTATTAAACTGACCTAACACTTGGTAAAGTACCCCCATCCTTTCATGCATTTATACTTGCTCCTGTATTTTTAATTTCATACATCTGATGAAGTGGGTTTTAGCCCACGAAAGCTTATGCCCAAATACATTTGTTAGTCTCTAAGGTGCCACAAGGACTCCTGGTTTTTTGCTGATACAGACTAACACGGCTACCACTGAAACCTGTCAACATTTAGGAAGACACTTGAGTGAAATAGTATTATTGCCTATATGTCTCTTTGAAGGTTGTGGTAACCTGTATCTGAACTGTTTAATGGATAAATTACCCTGTGCTAATTGCCATGATGTTTGGGAGACAGAAAGTTGAGCCTATTGTTTTCTCAGGCCAAAAGGCTGCTGGAAATGTATAAAAACCCTGGGACACGATCCTTCTTCATCTCAGATCTGCTTTGGGTTTCAAGAAGGGGAAACCTTATGCCATAAGAATTGAGATCCCCAGTCTATGACCTATGGACTATTTCTGAATATGGACATTGGACTATAACCTATGGACTATTTCTAAAAGGACTTTTGGCAACTACAAACTCATCTCTACTATGTATCTGAACCTCAAGAGTTGAATTAAAGTCTGTATGTATATTGATTTTTCAACCAACTATCTCTCTCTTTTCTTTTTTAATAAATTTTAGTTTAGTTAATAAAAATTGGCTATAAGCGTTTATTTTGGGTAAGATCTAAGTTATCATTTGACCTGGGTCTGGGGCTTGGTCCTTTGGGATCAGGAGAACCTTTTTTCTTTTACTGGGGTATTGGTTTTCATAACCAGTCATCCCCATAACGAGTGGCACTGGTGGTGATACTAGAAAACTGGAGTGTCTAAGGGAATTGCTTGTATGACTCATGGTTAGCCAGTGGGGTAAAACCGAAGTCTTCTCTGTTTGGCTGGTTTGGTTTGCCTTGGTGTGCAAAGGAACCCCACCCTTGGGCTGTAACTGCCCTGCTTTAAGCAATTTGTTCTGAATTGGTACTCTCAGCTGGGTCCCACCAAGGGCAGCATCGTTACACTCTTTAAGATGCGCTGAGCTGCAGTTTGTATGACAGGCATTGCACAGAATAAAATGACATTCACTGAGACAACAAATCCATCCTGACGCAACGGTGGGCTGTGTGTCACGCGACTCTAACTTTGTGCCAGTGCTTCGATTTGTGCTCAAGCCCTGCGGTTTGCAAGCCGGTGGCAGCTGCATTCAGCACAGACAAGCACTCACCCAAAGAAGAACGAATTTATTTAAAGCCAGTTTTGCTCAGAAGCCCTATGAGGTGCACAACAGCGTTGTGGAGGCAAAGTATCTGGTTAATAATAAATTACATTGATCGAAGACGGAGTCAGATATTTTTAAATTTGCATTTGTACATGGTGTCTGCTCCTGCATAGAGCGGCAGATCCTCCAGAAGGCATCAGGAATCCGTTCCAGTGAGCATAAAGGGTTAGTCACGATGTATAGTCCGGTGACTGCAGTAACAGCTGAGTAACCCATTCCACTGAAAAAGAAAGAGTCAGTGCTGGTGGTTGGTCTAAAGTTGGACCTCCCTTGCTTTCCTGCATCTCTTTGTCAAGCTCATCTAATTCTTTATATTTCAGAACAAATGTTTCAATACTGTTTTCTCTTTAAAAAGGATTAATGCAAGTATCCCTTAAGAGCAGCCCTACAAAGTCAAACACGTATGTGCTGCCCAGCACTCCAGAACACTGATACAATAACAAACCAGTCTGTGCATGAAGAAGGAATTATTTCAATAAGAAAATAACACAGTCATACTGAGACAGACCAATGGTCCATCGAGACCAGTATCCTGTCTTCCAACAGTGGCCAATGCCAGATGCCCCAGAAGGAATGAACAGAACAGGCAATCATCAAGTGATCCATCCCCTGTCACCCACTCCCAGCTTCTGGCAATCAGAGGCTAGGGACACCCCATACAATGGGGTTGCATCCCTGACCATTTTAATAGCCATTGATGGACCTATCTCATTCTTTGCTGAACCCAGTTATACTTTTGACTTTTGCAACATCCCCTGGCAATGAGTTCCACAGGTTAATGGTACATTTTTTGAAGTACTTCCTTTTGTTTGTTTTAAACCTGTTGCTTGTTAATTTCATTGAGTAACCCCTGGTTCTTGGGTTATGTGAAGGAGTAAATAACTCTTCCTTATTCACTTTTTCCACACCATTCTCAATTTTATAGACCTTTATCATATCCCCTCTTAGTCATCTCTTTTCCAAGCTGAAAAGTCCCATTCTTTTTAATCTCTCCTCATTCTGAAGCTATTCCATCCCCCTAATCATTTTTGTTGCCCTTCCCTGTATCTTTTCCAATTCTAATATATTTTTTGAGATGGGGCGACCAGAACTGCACACACTATTCAAGGTGTGGACGTACCAGGGATTTATATAGTGGCGTTATGACATTTTCTATCTTATTATCTATCCCTTTTCTAATGGTTCCTAACATTGTGTTCGCTTTTTTGACTACCACTGCACATCGAGCAGATGTTGTCAGAGAACTGTTCACAATGACTCCACGATCTCTTTCTTGACTGGTAACAGCTAATTTAGACCCAATCGTTTTGTCTATGTAGTTGGGATTATGTTTTCCAATATGCATTACTATGCACTTATCAACATTGAATTTCATCTCCCTTTTTGTTGCCTAGTCACCCAATTTTGTGAGATCCCTTTGTAACTCTTCGCAGTCTGCTTTGGACTTAACTATCTTGAGTAATTTTGCCTCATCTGAAAATTTTGCCACCTTAGTGTTTACCTCTTTTTCCAGATCATTTATGAATATGTTGAATAGCACTGATCCCAGTACAGATCTCTTGGGGACACCACTATTTACCTCTCTTCATTCTGAAAACTGATAATTTATTCCTACTAGGGCTGTCAATTAATCACAGTTAACTCATGCAATTAACTAAAAAAAAATTAATCGCGATTTAAAAAATTAATCACAATTAATCGCAGTTTTAATTGCACTGTTAAACAATAGAATACCAATTGAAATTTATTAAATATTTTGGATGTTTTTCTACATTTCCAAATATATTGTATTCTGTGTTGTAATTGAAATCAAAGTGTGTATTATTGTTTATTATAAATATTTGCACTGTAAAAATGATAAACAAAAGAAATAGTATTTTTCAATTCACCTCATACAAGTACTGTAGTGTAATCTCTTTGTCGTGAAAGTGCAGTTTACAAATGTAGATTTTTTTTGTTACATAACTGCACTCAAAAACAAAACAATGTAAAACTTCAGCGCCTACAAGTCCATTCAGTCCTACTTCTTGTTCAGCCAATCGCTCACACAAGTTTGTTTACATTTACAGGCGATAATGCTGCCCACTTCTTATTTACAGCGTCTATTGAAAGTGAGAACCGACATTTGCATGGCACTTTTGTAGCCGGCGTTGCAAGGTATTTACGTGCCAGATATGCTAAACATTCATATGCCCCTTCATGCTTCGGCCACCATTCCAGAGGACATACTTCCATGCTGATGACGATTATTAAAAAATAATGCGTTAATTAAATTTATGACTGAACTCCTTGAGGGAGAACTGTATGTCCCCTGTTCTGTTTTACCCGCATTCTGTCATATATTTCATGTTATAGCAGTCTTGGATGATGACCGAGCACATGCTGTTCATTTTAAGAACACGTTCACTGCAGATTTGTCAAAACGCAAAGAAGGTACCAATGTGACATTTCTAAAGATAGCTACAGCAGTCGATGCAAGGTTTAAGAATCTGAAGTACCTTCCAAAATCTGAGATTGACGAGGTGTGGAGCATGCTTTCAGAAGTCTTAAAAGAGCAACACTCTGATGTGGAAAATACAGAACCCGAACCACCAAAAAAGAAAATCAACCTTCTGCTGGTGGCATCTGACTCAGATGATGAAAATGAACATGCGTCGGTCTGCTCTGCTTTGGATCGTTATCGAGCAGAACCCGTCATCAGCATGGATGCATGTCCCCTGGAATGGTGGTTGAATCATGAAGGGACCTGAATCTTTAGAGCATCTGGCACATAAATATATTGCGACGCCACCTACTACAGTGCCATGAGAATGCCTGTTCTCACTTTCAGGTGACATTGTAAACAAGAAGCAGGCAGCATTATCTCCTGCAAATGTAAACAAACTTGTTTGTCTGAGCGATTGGCTAACCAAGAAGTAGGACTGAGTGGACTTGCAGGCTCTAAAATTTTATATTGTTTTATTTTTGAATGCAGGTTTTTTGTACATAATTCTACATTTTTAAGTTCAACTTTCATAATAAAGATATTGCTCTACAGTACTTGTATTAGGTGAATCGAGAAATACTATTTCTTTTGTTTTGTACAATGCAAATACTTGTAATCAAAAATAAATGTCAAGTGAGCACCGTACACTTTGTATTCTGTGTTGTAATTGAAATCAATATATTTGAAAATATAGAAAACATCCCAAAATATTTAAATAAATGGTATTCTATTATTGTTTAACAGTGTGATTAATCACGCGATTAATCGCGATTAATTTTTTTAATCGCTTGACAACCCTAATTCCTACCCTTTGTTTTCTGTCTTTTAACCAGTTAATAATCCATGAGAGGACCTTCCTGCTCATCCCATGACAGCTTACTTTGCTTAAGAGACTTTGGTAAGGGACTTTGTCAAAGTATTTCTGAAAATCCAAGTGCACTCTATCCACTGGATCACCCATGTCCACGTGTTCCTTGACCCCCTCAAAGAATACCGATAGATTGGTGAAGCATAATTTCCCTTTACAAAAGCCGTGTTGACTCTTCCCCAACAAATTGTGTTCATCTATGTGGCTGATAACTCTGTTCTTTACTATAGTTTCAACTAATTTGCCTGGTACTGAACCTTACTGAACCTCTGGAACCTTTTTCAAAAATTGGTGGTACATTAGCTATCCTCCAGTCATTTGGTACAGATGCTGATTTAAATGATAGGTTCTATACCACTGTTAGTAGTTCTACAATTTCATAGCTGAGTTCCTTCAACTCTTGGGTGAACACCATCTGGTCTTGCTGACTTATTACTATTTAAATTATCAATTTGTTCCAAAACTTCCCTCTATTGACACCTCAATCTCAGGACAGTTCCTCAGATTTGTCACCTAAAAAGAATGGCTCAGGTCTTGGAATAGCCCTCACATCCTCAGCTGTGAAGACTGATGCAAAGAATTCATTTAGTTTCTCCGCAATGGCCTTGTCTTCCTTGAGACCTCCTTTAGCACCTCGATCATCTACTGATTGTTTGGCAGGATTCCTGCTTCTGAAGTATTTAAAAAAAATTGCTGTTAGTTTTTGAGTATTTGGTTAGTTGCTCTTTAAATTCTTCTTTGGCCTGCCTTCTTATACTTTTACACTTAACTTGCCAGAGTTTATGCTCCTTTCTATTTTCCTCACTAGGATTTAACTTCCAGTTTTTAAAGGATGCCTTTTTACCTCTAACAACTTCTTTTACTTTGTTGTTTACCCACGGTGATACTTCTTTGGTTCTCTCCGTTTTTTAATTTAGGGTATACATTTAATTTGAGCCTCTATTATGGTGTTTTTTAAAAGTTTCCATGAAGCTTGCAGGCATTTCACTCTTGTGACTGTTCCTTGTCATTTTCTTTTAACAAGCTTCCTCATGTTTGTGTTGTTCCCCTTTCTGAAGTTAAATGCTATTGTAGTGGGCTTCTTTGGTGTTTTCCCTCCTACAAGTATGTTAAATTTAATTATATTATGGTCGCTATTACTGAGCGGTTCAGCTATAGTCACCTCTTGGACCAGTTCCTGTGCTCCACTTAGGGCTAAATTAAAAATTGCCTCTCCCCTGGTGGGTTCCAGGACTTGCTGCTCTAAGAAGCAATCATTTATAGTATCAAGAAACTTTACCTCTGCATCCCGTTCTCAGGTGACAGGTACTCAGTCAATACGGGGATAGTTGAAATCCCCCATGGTTATTGAGTTTTCTATTTTTGTAGCCTCATTAATCTCCCTGAGCATTTCACAATCACCATCACCCTCCTGGTCAGGTGGTCAGTAGTATATTCCTACTGCTATACTTTTATTATTCAAGCATGGGGTTTCTATCCATAGAGATTCTTTGGTACAGTTTGATTCATTTAAGATTTTTACTCTATTTGACTCTACGCTTTCTTTCACACATAGTGCCACTCCCCCACCAGCACGACCTACTCTGTCATTCCTATATATTGTGTAGCCCGGTATTACTGTGTCCCATTGATTATCATTGTTTCACCAAGATTCAGTGAAGTGAAACAATGATAATCAATTGGGGTGGAGTCGGGGCGGGGAAAGGGGCAGGGGGGCATGGGCACCCACCGGCGCCGGAGAAAGTTGGCGCCTATGCCTGTGTGTGGAACTGGAAGCATTTCAGAAAATCCTACTACAGAGGTCCTGGACTTCAATTTCTTACCTAGCGGCCTAATTTGGCCTCCAGGACCTCTCTCCGATTCTTCCCTATGTCATTGGTACCTACAGGCACCCACGACCACTGGCTCCTCCCCAGCACTGCACATACATTTGTCTAGATGTCTTGAAAGAGCCACAACCTTCACACCCAGCAGGCAATTCACCATGTGGTTCTCCTGGTCATCACAAATCCAGTTATCTATATTTCTAATGATTGAATCCCCCATTATTATTACTTGTCTCTTCCTACGGAGAGGTATCCTCAGTGTGAGGGGATACCATGACATCGTCTGGGAGAGTCCAAACTATGGGATCGTTTCTCTCCGCTCCATTTTGATGTTTTCCTTCCCCGAGTCTTTCATCTTCCTCAACAGCACAGAGGCTGTCAGGCTGGGGGCGGGACCCCTCTGCTGTGTCCCGAAAGTCTCCTCGACGTACCTCTCTATCTCCCTCAGCTCCTCCAGTTCTGCCACTGCGGTCTCCAGACCCTGTATTCGGTCTCTGAGAGCCATAAGCGCCTGGCCCTGAATGCACATACATGCCACCTGCCCACAAGGCAGGTAATCCATACATGCTGCCTTCAGTGCAATAAGTGGATATCTCCCTTTCAGCTGCTGGACTTCTGCCTGCATTCTTTTTACACCTTCCGCTTTTTTTTGGGGGGGGTGTCTTTGTTTTTTTGGGCAGGTGGGGGCAAGGAGCGGTGTGCTTATTGCCCTAAGTTTAGAGAATGTTAATCAGGTGTATCTAGCTCTTTCGATCCCACTCTAAGTTCCCTCACAAAACACCCCTGTTTGCTAGCTCCTCTGGTCGCTTAGGAGCCAGCTTTTTAAACCCCTGTTTTCCCTGAATAGCCCTGCCCCCTGGTTAAGGTTTAATGGGTGCTAAAGGGCTTAGAGATCAAAGCCTCCTCAAGAAGCTCTTAGCCTTGCCTAGCAGGGCGCTAGGCTCAGCACCTGCCCCCCCGCCCCCCGCCAATAAACAGACCGCACTATATACTGCAGTCAAGCAGCAAGCACACAATAAACAAACTGACAGATAACAAACTCACCCCAATGGGTCACGTAGTCTCTCCTCCATCACCCGGAGAACTCCCTCGCACGAGTCCCCTGTTTGCTGCTCCTGGTCGCTAGCCAGGCGGTTGTTATGTCACGGCCTGCGGGAGGGAGGAAGAACTGGGAAATGATGAACAATGCCTTGACAGTGTCCCTTTGCAAGTAATTTTTGTTTATCTCAGCAACACACAGATCCTCCACTCCTACTGGGTGTTGTTTAGGTCTGATGCACTGTTTGTTTACAAGTCTTTTAACACCCTTTTCCTACCTAACAATCACCATCTTTCTATTCAGCTTTTCGGGGAGCGACGGTGCAAAGAGGAGATTTACAATGGAGTTCCAGGACCCCCCGGGCCCAGACTGTCATAGCTTTATTCTAGCAGTCTTCTAATAATGGCTCAATGTATAATTGCATTTCACCAGAATGCTCTGGGTCTCACAGGATATCTGTGCTTACGACTTAGGAGAAAACAAGCTTCTGTGGCTTCTGTGGAAGCAGAGAAAGAACTGACAGGAAGGGAATTGCAATGCATGACAGTTCTTTCTCTGCTTCCACACTTCCTAACCCAAGCTCGTCCAGGGAGCTGACCAGAGAACTGGCTCCTTTCTTCCTTCTCTCAGAGACGCAGACACACCCCTTTTTGCTACCAGGCACAATTCTTATTAATATTACAGCAGTGCCCAGGATGTGCTGGGTGTCATCCACCGACACAGACAGATGCAGCCCCACCTCCAGACAACTTGCATTCTAAAAAGACAAAGAAACGTACAAAGGGGTGGTGGGCGGGGAATTAACATACAAACATTTATATTATTTGTTTGTTTTTACAAATACATGATGGACATAGATAACACACTCCGAGTCCTTGTGCTCAAGGGGTTGTGTTAATGTCTGTGTTGGGGCATCTGGCCCACACTGGCATGCAAGGGGTTAATATAGCCCTAGGGAGGCTGCACAGGAAGCAGCCAATAGCAGAGGGTCTGTGAGGAGCAGCCAATCAGGGCCCAAGAGGCCCATATAAGAAGAACAGCAGGGCCGAGTAGGGTCAGTTACTCCCTGGAGCTCAAAGAGGGAGGACTTATTGCCTTGCAGGTGGCGGGAAGCTAGCACCCTGGACAGAGCAGAGCTGGGCAGGAAGAGGGAAGCAAGAGGGAGCTCCTGAAGCGACGCGATTGAGTACCGCCGAATGGCTTTATCTTTTTTTTTTTTTTTTTTCACTTTGCTGCTTGGGGCGGCAAAAAAGCTGGAGCCAGCCCTGGCTAGGACGGGCATGCTGATGCCCTGAGGTAAGGGCGAAGAAGGTGCTGGGGTTGCAGGGAAGTGGCCCAGGGAAATGTACTGAGGATTTGGAGGGGACACAGTGAGTGGCTGCAACCTACAGGGTCCCTGGGCTGGGACCTGGGGTAGTGGTCAGGCCTGGGTCCCCCCCACTTGCCACTAGGGAAGTGGCTATACAGTTGCCTGCATTGCCCCGGAAAGGGGGAGGAAGCATAGATCATTATACGGCTGGAGGGCTGTGTCATGAAGAGGACACCATGGTCCTGGGAGTAACAGGCTCCGGGAGCAGACATGACGGCGGGTGAGGCACCGTTGGGAGAGGGTGCACTGACTTGCGGAGCTAATCCCCAAGACAGCCAGCGGGAGGCGCCAGCGTGGAGCCCCGTCACAGCGCCCATAGTAGCGATCGCTTTCTCAAGGGGGAGTGGGAGGGATGGGGCCATGATGCCCATCCAACACATGGGCTAGCTGAGCTAGCTTTTGTGGGTGGGTGGGTGGGAGTGCATGCTGCACCCTTTAACAGAGTGAAGCAGGGGGTGATCTGCCCACGCTCTCTTAAAGGCAACAAAGAAATGCACCCGTCTCAAAGCATGATCCCCTTGGAGTGCTGCAGTTCTACATTCTTTATGTTCTGGTCCAGCCCCGTCTCATAGCGTATGTACCAGCTGTTATCCTGGCCGGAAGTACTGAGCCATGTCACCCACCCTGAGGCACCTGAACAAAGCCAGGCTTAATATCAGGAGGGTAGTGTCACGAAAGGGGGAGAAGCCAGATATTAATCAAGTCTGATGGAAGTTGGAGAACAACTAGTGGACGTCAGTGGAAGAATATGTTCCATCATGGAAATGACAAGGCCAGACGAGGAGAGGTGGGTGCAGGACTGTCTGTAAAGGAAACCACCGATAGTGTTACACTGCCAGTCCAGGGGTGGTTTTAAAAGTGAGTTTTTATTAAAGTTAATATAAAAACAAACAAACAAAGGCCGCTTGCCTAGGCCCTGCCGGAGCTCAGGCTGACCAGATGACACCTTGCTTCCCCGATGTGTTCCCGTTTACCTCTTCAAGGGAGAGGGCCCAGGTAAATTAACCCTGACATTCTCTTGTGAGTGCTACACTCCCCACTTATTTCTATTCATTTCCCAACATTTCTATTAACAATATGTATATAACAGGGGTCGGCAACCTTTCAGAAGTGAAGTGGTGTGCCGAGTCTTCATTTATTCACTCTAGTTTAAGGTTTCACGTGCCAGTAATACATTTTAACGTTTTTAGAAGGTCTCTTTCTATAAGTCTATAATATATAACTAAACTATTGTTGTATGTAAAGTAAATAAGGTTTTTAAAATGTTTAAGAAGCTTCATTTAAAATTAAATTAAAATGCAGAGCCGCCCGGACCGGTGGCCTGGCACCGAGCAGTGTGAGTGCCACTGAAAATCAGCTCGCGTGCCGAAGGTGGCACGCGTGCCATAGGTTGCCTACCCCGGTATATAACATTCAGTCCATCAAGTTGACTTTTTAGCAGTAGTCCACTAGTTCCATAAGAATGACAATACTGGGTCAGACCAATGGTCCATCTAGCCCCATATCCTGTTTTCTGACAGTGGCCAGGGCCAGATCATCCCTTCAGGTGCAATTAGCGAGTGATTCATACCCAGTCGTTCTCAGTCTTTGTCTCTCTCCTCCTTCACCAGTTGTGATCCCGATGATGTTTGGCAAGCAGGGGCGCTGGAACAATTTGTATAGTGGGGGTGCTGCGAGCCATTGAACCAAACTGTAAACCCTCTATATAATGGAAACCCATCCCTTACCCCTGTGGCCTCCTCTCTTCCCCCCCAAAGCCCAGCCCCTACCCTGCCCCTTCCTTCAAAGCCCAGCCCCTTCCCACAAGGCCCCTCCTCTTCCCTCCAAGGCCAAGCCAGAAGCTGGAGCGGGTCGGGGGAGCCCGCCCCCTCACCTGGGGGCTGAAATCAGCCCCCTGCCCGTGTCCCCGTGTCCCCGCCCAGGGCAGGTGGAGGGACCCAGGCTCCCCACAGCTTCTCATGTGGTTCTTACCCCAACTAGGCTCCAGCCGGGGGGGGGGGAAAGGCTCAGAGCCACAGCCTGGCCATGGTAAGAGCCATGCGGGCAGCTGATGGGGACCCTCCACCTCCATCTGCCCTGGGCAGGGAGCACGGGAGGCGTAGTATGGTGGCAAGTCATTATTGAACAAAATAGCCAACTCTGAACAACTGAAATTCCCAAAGAGGGATTCTGGATAGAGCGTCTGCCTTCACTTTAGATTCCCATGGATGATATTTAACTTTGAAGTTAAAGTCAGCTAATTCTGCAAACCACTGGCAGGCAAAGTTCCCTCCAATTGTTCACATCCATGTGCGGAATGAATAATGTTATGTGCACCAATATGGAGGTGATGTGTGGTGCGAGTTGGGGCTGAAGGGTTCAGAGTGTGGGAGAGGGCTCAAGGCTGAGGCAGAGGGTTGGGCTTGAGGTGCAGGAGGGTGAGGGCTCTGGCTGGGGGTGCGGTCTTTGGGGTGGGGCCAGGGATGAGGGGTTTGGGGTGCGGGCTGCAGCGGGGAGGGGAGAGAGGACTCTCCCCAGCCCTCTATCACCGCAGCAGCCCTGGGGCAGCCTGCACCCCAAACACCCACCTCTCCCAGCCGGCAGGAGCTCCTCTCCCCACAGCAGCCCTGCACACCCCACCTTGCTCCCCTTCCCGCCCACCCCTACCTCTCTCCTCTCCAATCCCCTGTGGCTGTATGCCTGCACGGCCCTTTATAGCCTGCTGCATGGCCATGCAGCTTAGAGGAAACTTAGCTGGTGGACTGTGGCATTCAGCCTGGCAGAAGTGAAGACGTGGGTTAGTGGATTATCTGATAACTGTGCAGGATTGTGCGTAGTAGGAGTCACAAATTCTGTCCGTTGCAGCCCATTTTAAGGCTAGAAACTGCAGCTTTCCCGAGCGAAGGTGATAATTTTTCTCGGCTGCAGATTGTATTCTTGACCGATAACTGGTGACTCTCAGTTTATGGTCCGGATGTTGGTACAGGAGGGCACCTAGTCCTTTACTGGAAGCATCTGCATGGAGACTAAAGGGTGAGGCAGAATTGGGATAAGCTATTATTGGTGGCTGTACCAGGCAGTTAATGACCTAGTTTAAAACACTTTGCTGTTGCTCCGTTCAGGTAACTGGCTGTTTGGAGTGTATTGGCCCTCGGACTTCTTTCTTTTTCTGAACCCCACTTTCAATCTGATGAGCCAAACTAGTAAAACGTAACCTGTTCTTTTGCCGGAGGTTCCCAATCTGCCCCTTTATTTTACAATCCTTACTTAAAACTCGTTCCGCTTTTGACCGCATTTTCACAGAGGGTTGGTTTTAATTTCTTTCATGCTTCCCTGAAACCATATTTCTAGCAATTGTCTCTACTTTAGGGGCGTCAATCTGCCCTTTCTTGCTGTAGCAATGAGCTGTAAAACCTTATCTCTTAATGCCAGTAATGGGACAATCCCTGATCTTCCAACTCTTCACAGTATAAGTGGCTTGTTATGTGTTTGATTAAAGCCAAGCCACTTTTTGATGCAATTTTACTGCGATTTGTCCCAGAAATGCCTAGAGAGACACAGATGTCTCTTAAATGCTCATCTTTTAGCTGGTATAAATGCCCTTCTACCTCCATAAGGAGGTAGTGAGAGCAGCAGAATGAGGACAATGGACTTCAAAAAAGCAGACTTTAGCAAACTCCGAGAACTGGTAGGTAAGGTCCAATGGGTAGGAAATCTAAGGGAAAAAAGAGTTCATAAGAGCGGTCAGTTTCTCAGCGAGAC